CTCGTGTGGGGATGAGCGGAGCAGGGCCCCAGGCAAACCCGAGCAGCAGAGATTCCTTGTCTGTGTGAAAATCTGGAATAATTCCCGGTCGGTAGGTTAATGATGTGTTTGGTGTTGAGCTGTGGGACGTGGCAGAGCGGATCCGGGTGCGGCGGGGCGGGGGAAAAAAAGTGAATTCCCCAGAGATGGTGGCCAGAGCCACCGCGCATCCTCAGGTCACATCGCTGTGTACAGGGGACCTGTTACAGGGCACATAGCAACAGGACAGGGGGGAACGGTTTGAAGCTGACAGAGGGGAGATGGAAATGAGATGTGAGGAAGAAATGTTTTCCTGTGCGGGGGGTGAGGCAGTGGCCCAGGGTGCCCAGAGAAGCTGTGGATGCCCCATCCCTGGAGGGGTTCAAGGCCAGGCTGGATGAGGCTTTGGGCAACCTGGGCTAGTGGGAGGTGTCCCTGCCCATGGCAGGGGGTGGCACTGGATGGTCTCTAAGGTCCCTTCCAGCCCAAACCATCCTGGGATTCTGTGGTCGCTTCTTACTGCGTTTGAGGGAACACAGTCAAATTGGGTTGGCTTTCAGCCAGAATCAGTTTCTGCGATAGCATCTGACATCAACGTTTAGTTTGTGCCAAGCCGTCTGAAAGCCTTAACGGAATTGACAGGTGAATTATGCAAGTTTAAGTCATTTATAGCAGCTGCTGATAAAAATTGAATTTGTTTTTCAGCTCCCTGATGGAGTAAATATTTCCAAAGAAGCTCGGAGCGCAATATCTCGAGCAGCAAGCGTGTTTGTGCTTTATGCAACTTCATGGTAAGAATTTGTTGCATCAGATAACCAGTGCAGTTGATCAGTTGATTCTAATTCACCTCTCTGCTGGACGTCCTGGAGATTTCTTTTCCAGTGTTTGTTTCCATTTTGTCTGTTCATATAAATAAAACAATCTGTAGTGTAGCCCAATCTACCAGACTGCAGCCCGTGGGGAAGGCAGCTTGGCTCTGTCCACAGAGATGCCGCAACCCCACCAGGGACAAGGGATCCCAGACCGCCACTAGCCTTAGAACATGCCTGCGTGGCCTTTCCCGGCAAAGGCAAGAGCCCTTCCAGGCTGCTCACCACATGGCTGCGTTAGGGCAAGCATAAGCCAGGCTTAGCAGGTCACAGAGGACACGGCGATGTCTTTGGGGTGGCTCAGAAGACGCTGTGCAGGCCATCACTTCTCTGGTGTTAAGTGCACGCATGGCTTTGTGGAATTGTCACCTTACAGCCAATGTTCAGACTTTCGCCTCGCTCCCGGCTGTAGGAAAGGTCTGTGCAAGGAGAAAACTAACGTTGTGGGAAAGCAATGCCACTAGACAAAAGCACAAACAGCCAATGTAAACAAGACGGTATCTTAAATGCTATTAGTAGGTGATTAAAAAAACCCTGAATGTTTAGGAGATGGCTTTTTTTTTTTAAGTTAATTGTGACTTTAATAAACAAGACTAAATTGATGACAGGACCCATTAACCCTATTTTCCTTCTAGCGCAAATAACTTTGCCATGAAGGGGAAGAGGAAAACGCTGAACGCTGGCGATGTTCTCTCTGCCATGGAGGAAATGGAGTTTCAGCGATTTGTAGCCCCTTTGAAAGAATCACTGGAAGGTATCGTCCTCAGTTCATGTCGAGGGAGCCTAAGTAGCACCGAGTCCTGTTTTCCTCGAACGCTGGACAAGCAACACTTACTTGCCTGTCTTGTTTCTCTTCTCTTTGCCCAGCATCCTACACTGCAGTTTGCCTGGGGAATAAGTAATGTGCACCTTTAACAGGACTGGGATAACATTATTGCACAACTGATGAGGATTGAGAAAGTCTCATCTGCTGTCACTCCCCTATTATGTTTATCTAAGGACAGTCCTAGGTGCTGCCTGTAAATGTGAACTCCTGCGTCATTTTCAGCATTTTTCTGCTGAAACTTAACCCGATTTCCTATGGAGCTGGTCAGCACAGCTCAGATAATAGGGTGAGTTGCTGCTATGAGTTCGCTGCTCCCCTTGTAAGCCTGGAGAGCACGTGGACCTTGGACTTCAGCTACCGTACTGTCCGTTCCGTGGAAACACCGGCTCGCAATTTTTCAGTGTTCTCTTTCTTTTTTAGTTTACAGGCGTGAACAGAAAGGAAAGAAAGAAGCAAGGAAAGATAAAGACAAGAAGACAGACTCAGAGGAGCAAGATAAGAGCCGAGAGGAAGAGAATGATGATGATGACGAAAGGATGGAGGAAGAAGAGCAAAATGACGAGGAAGAGGTGGACAACTGAGGTTGCTGATGAGATTTGTGCAGGGGTTGGGTTTTGTTCAGAGGGATATAAACGCTGTAAATCAACCTTGCTGTGTCCCCTCTTGTTTCCAGTAGAGCTTTGTGCTCTTCCTCTGGGGCCTGTCCGTCCCTTTTTGGCTTTGACTTGTACACAAAGGACTTTCTGCTAAAGGTTTTCTCGTGGAAGGACCACTCCTCCCCGTGCGTGGGGGCTCAGCACCCTCCCCAGGCTTGGAAGAGAAGGGAACAGGACTGGGACAGGGCTTTTTATGCTGGATTGGCTCTGAAATAGAGGAAAAAAGAAATGTCAGATGCTCGGTCCAGGAGAAGTTGAGAGACTGTTGAATAAGCTCCTTAAACCAAGTCAGGGGCTGAATCAAATAGATCATTAACCCTTTGTGGGTCAGAATCTCCATGATGATGTCAGGAGGCTTGGAAGCTGAACAATTTAAGCTTTTTATCCAGCGACTTGGTTTTTTTCTGACATTTTCTTGCATTCTGGCTGTGCCTTCTCTTCCTGCTGTAACTGCGACAGTGATACTGTCTTTCAGCCATACCCCTCGTACGCAGCAATGCAGCCCAGCAGCACAGCTGTACCCAGGCCCGTGGTCCACTCTGCTGACTCTCACCCAAATCAACCAAAATCAAGAAACTCCACAACACTGGTGATGTAAACTAAATCCTGAAAGTGCTTCTTTTGTGTCTTTAAAGCCCCGGGAGACCAAGAGGAATTATATTAAAAATCTGAAGCTAAATTAATGGCTAAAATGTGTATGAGGACAACAAAAGGCGGCTGTATCCAGTGGTACGTGTGTTGCCGGTCAGCACTGGACCTGACGGTCTCCCCTCCTTTCCCGAGCTGCAGCTCCTGCAGATGGGTTGGGGATCGCAGCACGTTTGAATGTGGTAGAATAGAGCCCTGTATCTGGCTGGATATTTTTCTTTTCTGAATTGGAGTGGACTAGTTACGGCCAAGGTCCCTCTTCAGCCTTCCACAGTCATTCCAGAGACGCGACCTGTCTCCAGCGCAATGGGCTCCGGGAGTGCAGTGAGGACGGGGCGTTCCTGCCCTCAGGCCTGAGCCTTTTTAAAAAGATCTCCTTCCAGAAAGAGGGCTTGAAACAAGCTGTTTGTATTCCTTGGACTCACATAGGTTTGTTCTTTTATACTTGAATTGTTAGTTTGGATGCCTTTCCTTTCTCTTTGAGAAAGTATCGAGTAGAATAAGCTCCTTTTTTGGGAAAAACACTTTCTTATTTGCCTGATCTTTTTGAAGACTAATAAACCTAATATTTCCACTTAACCGAGGTCCGGTGAAGGAAACTTGAGGACAGTTTTAGGCACGTTACAAGTAAAATCCACCAGTTCTGCTGATGTGCCATTTTAAAAGAGCTCTTGTGAGGAAGGTTATGTCCTTTTCACAAAAAAAATCGATGCAGAGCTACCCGCAAGAGCTACCCTGCCTTGAGGCTTTTAGGGCACGATGGCTTTTCACGCGCAGAAGCGCAGCTCTTGAAAAGAACAGAATCAACAAAGATTTTCTGCTGTCTAGTTTCCACGGGTGTGCAGTTGGTAACAGATGAAAAGACTGAGTGGATGATGTCTTCCCAAGATCTCCAGTTCTAGCTCCTTCTGTTTTTTTTTTTATTATTATTTTTTTTTTCCTTTTCTTGTACATATCTGGGATGCATATTGTGGAAGGGAACAATATCTAAATAAAAGCCAGAATTTTTTACAGAAATAGAGTCTCGTTATTTCTGTCAGTTGGTTGCAGTTGCATAAGCACTCATCTGAGCGTGCGGCGAGGGCGGAAGCAAACTGGCTGTGAAATCGTTCACGGAGCATCTGACAGCGAAGGGAGGATGGAGGCTGCTGGAACCCGGCCTTGGTGCGAGAGGAGCGAGGGAAGCGTGGAAACTGGAAAGAACGAGATTCCCAGTTATCAGAGAAGGGAGGTTTGGGTGCAGATGTTTGAATCCCTGGTGGAAGGAGCCTTCGGTTCACTCTCGCTGCAGGTGGGAGGCATGAAGCTGGGGGAAAAGGAGACAGGGCCTGGCTTCACACGACGATGTTACTGTGTGGGAGCTGCCCCAGTTCCCTGCATCCCCCCTGCAGCAGGTCCTGCTCGCGTGCTGCCAGGCCTGCGGTATGCAGCCAGCCTCCCTTGGCCTGGCAGGATCCCCCAGCACACCAAAACCCTGCTCCAGGCCCTCACAGCACCCCAAAATCCTGCTCCAGGCCCCCTCAGCACCCCAAAACCCTGCTCCAGGTCCCCCCACAGCACACTCAGCTGTGCTGCTAGGCACCCAGCACCTTAAAGCCCTGCTCTACACCCCCACACCACCCCAAAACCTGGCTCCAGGTCCACCTGCAGCACCCCAAAACCCAGCTGCATGGCCCCACAGCACACTTAGCCAGCTCCTGGTCCACCAGCACCCCAAAGCCTTACTCCAGCTCCCCCGAG